AGTGATCTAAACAAGTAACTAAGAGCCCATGGAAAACCATGGATGAAAAGGGTGCTAGCACCTTCCCTTTTCATAATCTACCCCCCGAACCCAAGAAAATATCTCAAAGGTCTTTCCTGTGCTTTTTGACCTTTCCTTTAGATAAAATAAAAAGTCAGTTGCGACTCTTGCTAAACCGAAACATTTGCGAACACAAACGCAAAACCTCAAGTCAGTTCTCCCACCGTATCACAACAACCTTTTGCTCTTCGACTACGTCATTGTTCATGACATAGTAGCATAGTGGTTGTTCACGAGCAACTTCGTCTGGTATGAAGTATTCATCTGTTTCAAAGGCTTCTGACGTTCGATCATATTCAACAGGTAACATTGTCACAATCCCATAATTAAGGATAAAATCCCCTCGTAGTTATCGTCGGCCATCTAATCTTCTGGAAGAGGATCATATTCATATGTATGGTCTTCTTCCTCAAGAAGGGGGTATATTTTGCACTCTGAGTCGACACCACTTCCTTTGTTCCCAAAGGAGCTACCTTCATGGATAGTCTCTGGTTCATAATGATTTTTTCTTGTTCATTCAGCCTTCCCTTTGGATACAGTCATAACAAGAATCAAGAAATCGGACACAGTCACAACTGTGTTTGAAGAAGATCAACAAGATAAAGTCATAATCAGTCAAAATGAAGAACCACCTAAGCAGAATACTAGCTGGATATGAGAGATTTCCATATCAAGTTGTCGATGTAGATGGTGACTTAATTGAAGAAGCCATGATGATGGCTAAAGTAGAACCAATTGATTTGGATCAAGCCATGAGTGATTTGAATTGGTGTGATGCCATGAAAGATGAACTTAGAGAAATTGAGAAGAACAAGACCTAGGAGCTTATCGGAAGATCTAGCAACAAGCCAATCGATGTAAAGTGGATTTATAAGTTGAAATGAAGGCCAAATGGTCAGATTTTTCCAAGTATAAGGCAAAACTAGTGGCAAAAGGTTTTTTTACAAGAACTCGGTATTGACTTCGACGAAGTCTATGCACCTGCCTTAAGGCTGGAGACAATTAGAAGTTTTGTATCGACATCATCATATAGGGGGTGGAAGATACATCAGTTGAATGTAAAGTCAGCATTTCTGAATGGACCATTGGAAAAAGAGGTCTATGTTACTCAACCATTGGGATTCAACATCAAAGGGCAGGATTCGAAAGTGTACAGATTAAGGAAGGCTATTTATAGTTTGAAGCAAGCTCCTAGAGCTTGGAATAAGAGAATAAGGTTTCACAAAGTGTGTCTTTGAACATGAAGTGTATGTAAATGATGCTGACAATTTCATTCGAATCATTTTATGCATGTATATAGATGATTTGCTGATCACAGGAGCAGACGAAGCTGAGATAAAGAAAGTCAAGTGGAAACTTATGCAGGAATTTGAAATGTCCGATCTAGGGTATATGTCATATTATTTAGGGATGAAATTCAAAGACGCGGGTGAATGAGTATTTTTGCACCAAAATAAGTATGCTTAAGATATCTTGAAGAGGTTCAAGATGAACAACTATAATGCAGCTGCCACGCTATTGGAAACTGGAGCAAAGTTGAAAAGGGAGACAAATGATGAATTTGTAAGTTCAATATTGTACAAACAAATCATTTAATCCTTGAGGTATCTTTGAAACACTAGGCCTGACAGTTATCAAGGTGTCAGATTGTTGAGTTGATTCATGGAGAAACTCCAAGAATGTCATCTTATTGCAATGAAGAGGGTACTGAGATACATAAAGAGTACCATTGATCATAGTAAGCTGATGACAAGGAAGTCGAAGACCAACACAGATGCAGAAGTCCATGGATACATTGATTCAGATTTCAGTGGAGATCAAAACGAAAAGAAGAGTATTGCAGGCTACATTTTAATGATCGGAGACGCTCGAATCTCTTGGAGCTCTAGGAAGTAAATAATTGTGGCTTTGTCATCATGTGAAGCTGAATATGTAGTTGCATCATATACTGGATGTCAAGCATCATGGGTCGAGATGTTGCTTGAAGAACTCAAGATAATGTAACCTAAGAAGATGAAGTTGTTTGTCAACAACAAGTCAGTTATCGAGTTGGTGAATCATCCAGTGTGTCATGGTTGAAGTAAGAATATAGAGAGGAGGTATCATTTTTTGTGGGATCAAGTTATCAAAGGGAATCTTGAACTTGAGAATTGCAAGACTTAAGTTAAACTAGCTGATATACTCACCAAACCTCTAAAGAATGTCAGGTTCGACGAGTTGAAGAGAAGCATTGTGGTGAGAAGTCTCGAGAACATGAATTAAGCGGTGTCTTAGTTGTAAGTCTTGTTCTGTCAAAATGCATAATCAGAGGTGTCGAACTAGCTAGTAGGATTTAAGATGTGTGTCGAAATATATTTTGGACCCGAGCTTTAGTAGCCTATATAAAGAGCATTGTATGTTTTAATTTTACACTACACTCATAACAGTAATAACAATTTTCAATATAGTTTTCTCTCTTATCTCTCTTCTTCTTCTTCTCCTTCATATTTCCTGAAAACCCTTTTATTTCAACAAGAGTGAACTTTAACCACCTTAGTAGAGAATATGTTCCTATATTGGAAGAGTCATTTCGTGTAGATGAAATTAAGAAGGAAATTAGGTTGAGGAAGAGAGATAAAAGTCCACGGTTGGATGGCTTCAATATGATATTTTTCAAAAATTGCTCGAATATAACTAAAGCAGATTTAGTGGCTTTCTTGGATGAAATCTACTTCAGTGGTAAGCTTTCTAAGACAATTACTTCTATCTTATTGACTTTGATTCCAAAGGTAAATAACTCTCAATAGGTTAGTGAATTTAGACCAATTTACTTGGTACCAAGTTTGTACAGGATATTGGCAAAAGTCCTTACTAGTAGGTTAAGAAGGGTAATTCCCTCATTGATATCTAGAAATCAATCAACTTTTGTTAAAAATAGACAAATGCAAGATGGAATTTTAGTAATCAATGAAATTGTGATTCTATCCAAGAGATCTAAAAGGTATTGTTTTCTTCTTAAAGTGTATTTCAAAAAGGCATATGATAACCTTTCTTGGAATTATCTAAGAAGTGTGATGGGTTTGATGGGGTTTGGGAGAAGGTGGGTGAGATGGATGGAGAGAAGTGTTTTTTCAAGTAGTTTTTCATTTTGGTGAATGGTAGTCCGACCAAATATTTTGAAATGGCTAGAGGTATAAGAAAGTAGATCCATTGTCTCCTTTCTTATTCCTCTTAGCAGTAGAATGTTTGTCTGGATTGTTGAATAATGCTATTTTAAAAGGAGATTTTCAACCTCTTAAGTTAACGACGAAATCCAATTTTCGACCATTCAATTTATTAACGATACTATAATTTTAAGTGAGGGGACTTATTCAAGCTTATGGAGTTTTAATGGGTTACTGAAGGAGTTCGAGCTTGTATCTGGATTATGTGTCAATTTTCATAAAAACATGCTTTTGGGGATCGATTTGGAGGAGTCCTTTCTTGAGGAAGCATGCATTTTCTTGTCTTGTGAAATAGGAAGCTTTCTTTTCTTGTTTTTAGGCATTACAATAGATATAAATCTCAGAATGAAGGAGTCTTGGAATCTCATTTTCAATAAGTTTCAAAGGAAGGTGAAGAAGTGAGATGACCTTGTTAAATTCAGTTCTTAATAGTTGCCTATTCATTTTTTTCTCCTTTTTCAAAGTTCCTAAAGTAGTCATTAAGGAAATTATAAAGGTGCAACGAAATTTCTTGTGGAGTGATGAGGAGGGAATGAGAAAGATTAATTGGTTAAGTTGGAAGAAGGAGTGTTGTGAAAAGAAAAATGGTGGTCTTGGTTTCAAACATTGTGATCTTTTTAATCAAGTGCTTATATGTAAGTGGTTTTGGAGAATTCTTAATGAGAAGGAGACGCTTTGGCATGGGTTATTACTTATAGATTTCGGGACATTTTATTTCAGGTTAGTGAGGGTTCATTTAATGGCTCAAGAAAGAAACATTCAATTTGGTGGAGGGACCTTAATTTGCTTGGTCTCGATCTCTTGGATAATAACACTAGTATTGCAGTTTGTTTTAGCAAAGATGCGATAGCTGAAGAAAAAACAAGATAACTAGCATACATATTTTGGTAAAACTACCACTAAGAAACTCTTGCAGCTCATTAAAAAACCACACAGATAGTGGTCTTATTGATAATATAAGTTGATTGAGAATGTCTCAACAATGAAACGTTATTATTTATTGAAAAAACCTTACAACAACTTCAACCCACCACCATAGACATGCCACCTTGAATGCAGATATGAAAACCATTTTTTACTCAGATCTCAAAACTAAATTTCCAGACCGTTTTTTATCCAAACCAAATTGAATCCCTTAGTTCAAACAATACAACACGCACTCAGAAAACGCAATCAAATTAATACGAAAAACCCTAAATTTAAAGTGTAAAAATTACATCCACATCAACAAAAACAAAATAGCGTAAATCGTGAAACAGGACGGAATAAAGTGATATGAATTCCATTTAATTCTATCATTTTTCACTATATTTCTTCTCTTCCAATTTCAGCCTTCACTCTATTTCGCTTCATTTTACTCTACTCCATTCATTTCATGACATCCAAACATAACTTTAAGGATAACATTTCACTTTTTTTGTTTTTAAAATTTAATTTTAAATTAATATAAAATAAAACAATTTCATATCATTTAACTTATAATAAACCGTTAACTTATAATAAACCGTTGGCATATTAAACATATATAAGTTAAGGGAATTTGATAAAATTTATTAATAAATGACTAAAGTAAAACCTTAAAATAAGTTAAAGAACTAAAGAATGCATTAACTCAAAAAAAAAAATACATCCAATCAATATAACTTTTTATTTAAAAGTTTTTTAAAAAAATATTTTGGCTCAACTTATTTGAGAATCATCGGTTTCCCTTATGAAACAAAAGAATCATCGGTTTGATCAAGTTGATGCTGTTACACCTTCACTTTCACCATTAAGTATTTGGTATTCTATCTTCAGATTCTCATCTTCCTCAATAGTAGTAGCTGCAGCAGGAACTGATTTTTTCTCCCTGATAGAAAAAACAAAACACCCCAATAGTAATTAGTAGCATGTGTTTTCTCTAACAAGTAAGTACAATGAACTAAATATAGTTACAGTTATAAATAAATATTACATACGTCGAAGAATAAATGGTTAGACCAATACCAACAACTGCAAAAGAAACATTGTTGATCCACTCAACTGCATGACACAAAATTCCACTCAGCTGTAATATTCTAAATAATGTCATATTGTCGCAAAAAGAGACAGGTCCGTCTTAAGTTTTTAGAGGTTCTGTATAGGTTAATTGAGACTCTATTTAACCACAATTTAATAGTAGAAAATTTGAGACTATGTGTTATACTTCATCTTACACGACCCCAAGCCTCAAAAACGACCTATGTCACAAACATTCAAGTTCATGAGAAGGAAACTAACCTTAAGAACAAAGGGAGCAAATGAGTAAAAGATGAAGCTTGACACACCATAGCTAGCAAAAGCAAGTACCTGTTAAGGAATTTTGATATATAGTATAAACATTCAATTATATACAAATATGAAATTTCAGTGTTTTGTACTATACTTAAAATGATATGAGAATTGACCACTTACAATATCTGCAGACCATTTGATTGATTCCAGAGTCTTCAATTCTAAAATAGATCTGTCAAATAATGGAGTAATGGAAGAAACTAAACCAAATTTAAAATTTTAGTATTAGGTTTCCTAATTCGCACCAAATTAGAATAATAAGAAGGATACACTTCAACCGCGGTAACTAGGAATCCATAAACACCGAGCATTGCAACTACTTCAACGCGATCTTTTTTCTTAATACAAAATTCCTGCATTTTATAACATCATATCATATCCAGTTAGATTATTCATTATTCCGCAACATAAATGATTTTCATTATTACTAGCGTGCAGACAGACACACAGACAGACACATATCTCGCCAACATTGCTTATTGCATAGAAAACTGTCCCTACAATAACAAGTTCATCACCCAAGATAATTTTTGATCCACCTGAAAATTTTAACTTTGGAATCAAGTTAATTGATTGATTAAAATATTTTGATCCATATGTAAAAAGGCTCTGAGTTAAAGGTGTATCAACACCTATATAAAAATCATATGAAAGTTTAAAAATTCATATAACTCATAATTAAAAACCAGAAAAATAACAAATTAAGAATACCAAATTCGGCAATGAGAGAAGTAGTGATGCTCATGAGTGCTACTGCGGAAGAAACTAGTTGACCAAGAAGAAGTTTGCCAAGGACTTTTACAGTTGGATTGTTGCGCAAGTAAATTCTCATGGTAGTCCAATTCATTGTTGAAAATTTTGCAATATTTTGTTTCTTTGTTAATTCATTTTATGATAACAACATTGGAATGTGAATTGAATTTCATTGTAATTTGAGAGATGAAGGATGATGGAATTTGAAGTTTGGATGCATATGCAGCTACCATTCTTTGTTATTTGAATTGAATGGTGAGTGAAGGGAAAATAATACAGTGACATATATTTGTTTTGTTGACTGTGTTCTTTTGGTCCAAAAATAAATACTAGTTTTTTACATTAATGTTTTTGGGTACAGTATATTGTACTTTATTAGAATTTAATTCTAATTCATTATATTGACAAAAGATAAAAATTAATGTTATTTTCTGTCAAAAATAATATTACGTTATTACTTAACAGTTCAAAAATACTTTTAAAATGTGAAGTGAACCAACTAATCACAAAATTTTGTATATATGTTTGAATTTTAAAATCATTATGATTATATGATGAGTATCCTATTTCTTTTAAGTTTTGTTTACAAATTGTTGGCTGCGGGTATTAGATATGTAAATATAGAAAGATTATTATTAGTATTGATTACCAATGATTATTAGAATCATAACTACATATTTGTACCGTGTATATAAATGACTATCACATGAATGAAAAGGCACGGCCTAAATTATCTTACATGGTATCAGTCTTGGTTTGTTCCAAACCCTAAAATCAGCCGTAAACCTTCTTCCTTTCTATCCCTCATTCTTTTTCTCTTCAACTACCGCGAAACAGCCATGACTACCACTTCTGATTCCTCTAACAACAACTCTTCCCCGAAATCATCCGGTCATACCGACCCTCCTCCACCACCTACCACTCCTACACCGATTCACCCTGCTCTCACTGTCTCAAATATTACTAATTTCATCAAGATTACTCTGAGCATTGAAAAGGGCACGTATAACACGTGGTCAGAACTTTTCAAAATTTATGCTCGAGTTTTTCAAGTAATTGACCATATCAATCCCTCTGAACCAGCCGCAGATCCCTCTCTCAAAACTACCGATCCACAGTTATGGCTTCGTCTCGACGCTGTCGTTTTGCAGTGGATATATGGAACAATCTCCGATGATTTTCTCAACACTATCATCGAACATAATTCCACCGCTGAAATCGCGTGGAATCGCTTATTCGACATCTTTTATGATAACAAGAATTCTAGGGCTCTCTACCTATAGCAAGAATTTTCGCAAACTCATATGGAGCAATTCTCTGATGCTTCCTCCTACTGTCAGCATCTCAAATCTCTCTCTGATCAACTCGCTAATGTTGGTGCCCCTGTATCGAATGAACGTTTAGTTCTTCAACTCATTTCGGGACTAACCGATGCATATGCTACTGTGGGATCTCAAATTCGTCATGCTGATTCACTTCCTCAGTTCTATAAAGCTCGTTCCATGATCATTTTGGAAGAAACAGCACTGCAGAAAAAGGTGTCAAGCTCAGTCGAAAATTCATCTTTCATGGCGTCTCACAATGATGCATCAGTTAATTCATCGGCATCCCGTCCTAACTGCGGTAACAACAGTAACCACAACCGTGGTGGCCGAAACAATGGCAGAGGACAGCGTGGACGAGGCCGAGGGCGAAACAATGGACGTGGCGGAGGTCGTGCTCCGCAACAGCAATGGCCTTCACCATATTACCCGCATCAGCAGTGGGCTTATCCGCCATACCCAAATCAATATCAACAATGGAGCTCCCCGCCATGGCAACCATGGGCTACACCACCTTGTCCGTATCCAACAGCAAGAAATCCAAAGGAACAACCCGGCATCCTTGGTCCCAAGTGTTAGAACAAAGTTTGAATCTACTACCCTATATTTAAGTTTTGATGATAACAAAGTGAAAAGATATATTATTTAAGATTCATGTATGAACTATATGCTGCCTAAAATTATTATGTTCTGACTTGCAGATACTCTGATTGATATAAGCAAGATCACATCTAATCAGCATCAGAATTTGGTTCTTGACACCAGCATCAGAAGTTGCCATATCAGAATGTCAGAATCAGATGATCAACTCACGTATATGCCGAAGCCTGATGAACAAGACTGCGCTCAACACTCTGATAAAGAAATACAACAGTTCATCAGCAGCTAAGCAGAGTCAGAATGAGCCAAGCCAGAACTTGCATTAAGTAAGAAACGGTACTGTGCATTGAAAGCAAATTAATACCAACGGCCTCATTCCAGACAAGATCTGCTAGATAAGGAAAGTTTGTTAATAGCATTAAATCAAGAATATTGCATCCAACGTTCAACATCTCAGTGCTATATAAACAAGACTTTGAAGATTGAAATGGCTAATGCTCTCCAAATCTCTACACGCATAAAAGCTGATCAAAATCTTCCTTCTCTCAGTTTTGCTAAACACTACACATTCTGATATTCTATCATTGTTTAGCAATCTAGTTTCTAAGCTTTAATTTGTGTATACATCACAGTTGTGATACAGTTTTGTAGAAAACATTCACACACTTAGTTTTATCTCTTTGTAAGAAAGTGTTTCCTTGACAAACCGGGTTGTGGTTTGGATCAAGAAGGCTTTAGCAGTTGTTAAAGCAGTCTATAATATTCAGTTGAATATAGTGGATTAAGACCTCGTTGGAGAGAGGCGAAATCACCTTGACGGGTGGACTGGAGTAGTTTGAGATCAAACGAACCAGGATAAAAATATCGTGTTCATTGCATTAGATTTCAGTTTTACAATTCAACCCCCCCCCCTTCTTGTGTTTTTCACTACTTCAATTGGCATCAGAGCGCCTGGTTCTGAGCTAAAACACTTAACCGTGTCAGTACAAGATCCAGCGTCAGAAAAACACAATGGCAGGAAACAATTCTCACATCAGCAATGACAACAATGAGGACAGAGACAGATTCAGCGGCAAACCTCCAGTCTTTGATGGAGAAAACTTTGATTACTGGAAAGACAGAATTGAAAGCTTCTTTCTGGCACATGATGCTGATCTGTGGGATATGGTGACAGATGGATACACGCACCCTGTGAATGCAAGTGGTCAGAAGATTGATAGAAAAACAATGTCTGACCAACAAAAGCGTGACTTCAAGAATCACCACAAGGCCAGAACCATCCTCCTCAGCGTCATCTCCTATACTGAGTATGAAAAGATCTCCAACAGAGACACAACAAAGAATATTTTTGACTCACTCAGAATGACGCATGAGGGCAACGTTCAGGTCAAAGAAACAAAAGCTCTGGCGCTCATTCAGAAGTATGAGGCGTTCAAAATGGAAGAATCTGAATCCATTGAAACCATGTTCTCTAGATTCCAAATTCTGGTAGCTGGTCTCAAAGTTCTGGATAAAGGATACTCTACTGCTGACCATGTCAAGAAAATCATCAGAAGTTTACCCAAGCAGTGGAGACCTATGGTTACAGCTCTGAAGCTAGCTAAAGATCTCAACAAAATCACTCTGGAGGAACTTATCAGCTCCCTCAGAAGTCATGAGATAGAGCTAGAAGCTGATGAGCCTCAGAAGCAAGGTAAGCCTTTAGCATTAAAATCTAACAAAAAATTTGAGTCTAAAGTTTTGCAGGCAGTTGAAGAAACATCTGATGGCTCCTCATCAGAAGAAGACGAACTCTCTCTCCTTTCCAGAAGAGTAAATCAACTGTGGAAGCAAAGACAAAGAAAGTTCAGGAATCCCAGAAGATCTGATCAGAACGAGTCTTCTTCCAGATACAGAAGGACAGATTCTTCCTCTGGATACAGAAGATCTGAAGGCTCCTCCAGTAGCAAAAAGCCAAACACCAAGGACATCATCTGCTATGAGTGTAATGAGCAAGGACACTATAAGAGTGACTGCCCAAAGCTTCAGAGGGAAAAGCCCAAAAAGAAGTTTGGAAGAGAGAAGAAGAAAAGTATCATGGCTACATGGGATGACTCTGACTCGTCTGAAGCTGACTCAGAATCATATGATGAGAGGGCAAACATAGCTCTCATGGCTAACATCTCAGAAGATAGTGAAGCTTCTGAATCAGACTCAGAATCAGATACTGAAGAGGTATTTCCTAACTTTGTTGTTAACTTTACAAAGGCGGAACTTGCTGAAAGCCTTAATGAGATTCTGGAACGGTATCAGTAAATTAGAGTTAAATTCAGAGACCTGAAAAGGAATCTTGAATCTGACTCTAATAAGACTGAGAGTCTCAAATTGGAGAATTCTGAGCTGAGAAATAAGATTTCAAAATTAGAAAACACTTTACAAAACTCTCAGAAGGAACCAATTTCTGAAACTCCCAGCAACGCTGATGAGATCATCAAGGAGTATGATCACAGTTTCCAGAAGTTCCTAGCTAAAAGCATAGATAGAAGCAGAATGGCTTCAATGATCTATGGAGTTAGCAGAAACGGCAGGAAAGGAATAGGATACCAAGGTAAGGTTCCTACACCAAAGAATGTCATGGACTTAACAATTAAACACACTCCTCTGAATTCACACTTTGTGTATGGTCACACACATGATATTAAATACACTAGCAGTAAGCACTCTGTGAAACCAAAATTCAACCAGAGTTTTGGTAAAACTAACAAATCAGGACCCAAGAAAATCTGGGTACCTAAGGATAAAATAATACATGTTGCAGATATCTTTAGCAGCAAGTCAGAAACACCAGTCATGGTACCTGGACTCTGGCTGCTCACGACACATGACGGGAAGAAGGCATATGTTCCAAAGCCTGGAACTTAAGCCTGGAGGCCACGTTGGCTTTGGAGGCAATCAGAGGGGAAAGATAATTGGCTCTGGAACTGTAGGTAATGGAAATCTTCCCTCTATTAATAATGTTCTGCTAGTAGATGGATTGATGCATAATCTGTTATCCATAAGTCAATTAAGTGATAACGGTTATGATATAATCTTTAATCAAAAATCATGTAAAGCTGTTAGTCAGAAAGATGGGACTATCCTGTTTAATGGTAAGAGGAAAAACAACATTTACAAAATCAAACTTTCTGAACTA